GATTGGTTGAAAAGTAATCCTCAATCGTCAATCACAATCGCCAATCGCTAGTGTGATTACGGCTTTAGGCTTGTTCTTTTTGGCTGAACTTTTGCACAGTGTTGCCAGGTGCTTTCGTCGATTTTCCCCTAAAACAGCCTCGGAATCTCCCTAAATCTCCCTAAGTGAGCTCCAAAAAAACCCTAGAGTTCTCCCTAAAATTGTCAAATATGTTCAAAATAAAATAACAATAGGCCTTTTACAATAAGCCGCATATCAGAACGTCAGAATTCTTAACCAGTATTAACCAAGTCGTTCAAGTTGGCTGTTGGCGGGTGGCACCCAGTTGGACACGGCTCAATTGGACACGAGCTACTAACAGCGCTTGAGACTACAAAGCTCCTAACCATTCCGGTCGCTGTGATTGGTGTGTCCAATCGAGCCGTGGTCAATCAGGATCACCCCGCTGTTGGCCAACTTCACCGATTATGACTTAAGATCGCTTAGAACTTCTGACTTGCGGCTTATTGTAAAAGGCCCATAAAAGTTTCCATTTAATTTAATTTTAATCTTATATATTAATATACAATTGAGAAGGGAATAAAAAATATTTCAAAACTATTTTTAAAGGTTAAAGGATCATCTACAATAAGGATCCGTAACCGTAACGTAACCGTAATGGTATGTTTCCACTGAGCGCATCACGCGTCGCATTGTCCATCGCGTACGATGCGATGCGAAAGAGAGAAAGAGAGGGGTTGTGTACATATATAAACTTCACTCTTTCTCTCTTTCGCGTCGCGTCGTGACGCGATGGACGACGCGAAGGGTGACGCGCTCAGTGGAAACGTACCATGAAGCCGGGAGCACTTATAGCGTTTTCGGAGATCGGGTTTGCACCAACCTGGGTTGGATTAATCTTTCCTATTGGTCGACGTCACCCACTCTACCAATAGGAGAGCACAAAACGCCATTAATCCAACCCAGGGTTGGTGCAAACTTGGCCGGGCCGAAAACGCTATTAGAAAAACGTAAGTCCGTAAGACGTAATCAGTAAGGAAATCGTAACATTGGATTCGCTACTGGCCTTACGGTCTCTACTGTGATTGGTCAATTCACTTACTGCTTGCGTGTTACGGCCTTACGTTCTTGTATGTGTCAAGGCCCGTCTACAATACACGGAGTAAGAAGTAAGTGTAAGAAATTGACCAATCACAGTCGATTATTCTTCTCACATTCGACTGTGATTGGTCAATTTCTTACTCTTACTTCTTACTCCGTGTATTGTAGACGGGCCTTTATGGGCTTTAACGTACCATTACGGTTACGTTACGGTTACGGATCCCTATTGTAGATGATCCTTAAAGCTAATATTATAATACGTCATATATGACATATTTATTAATTTAAATTAGTAATAAACACAAATATTATATATATATATATAATATATACCTATATATATATTATATGCACAGAGAGAAACCCTCTGTATATATGACATTTTTTTGTTAATCTTTTTATTGAAAGGCACTCAACATGGCTAATCAAGGAATACCTGTCATGGAATACCCTCCCTAAAATATCCCTAAAAAACATTTTGTCTCCCTAAATATTCTCCCTAAATATTTTGTCTCCCTAAATTTCTCCCCAAGCCTAAAAAATAACTCTAAATCTAGGGAGAAAATCCACGATCTAGCAACACTGCTTTTGCACCAGTTCATCTTTTTTCCTCTTCTTTCCTCCTAAAGAGAAAAGGAAGAAAAATGAACTGATGCAAAAAGTTCAGTCAAAAAGAACAGGTCTATTATAATATTATACACGAGGTTTCTCACATAGTATTATACAGGGTGACCCATTTTAACTTAGACAGCCAAATAACTCGAAACATCGCGATTAAATAAAAAAAATGTTTAAAACAAAAATTGTTGGATATGAAGGGGCTGATTGAACTATGACCTTGACAATGACCTTGACCTTCATTTTCAAGGTTATTTGAAGGTCTACTTTCAATTTTCAAATAAAAATCCATATTTTTGATCCCGGATTTTGAAAGAGCGCAAAATTTTACGTCCAGATGAACTTTCATGTTATGGGTCAAAGTTGACCACAGAGGTCATTTCAAAGACAAATTCCTAATCGAAGCAGAAAGCCAAAAAATCTTGATTTTTCCCGGATAGTGTTTGTGAGAAAAATTGTTGGATGTCGAGGGGAGACCAAACCATGACCCTGACAATGTCTTTGAACCCATATTTTCATGACCATTTCAAGGTCAAGTGGGGATTTTTAATAAAATTTTATGCTACATATATATTTTCTTGTTGTGATTCTTTAAATATTAGCATACCTTACCTTCAAAATCGAAAATTAAACTTTCCATCTGATGGAGTTCCTCTAAGTATCCCTCCAAAATTTTGTCCATTTAATGCCAAAGTCACAAGTGTTTATGTATTTTTTTCAACATTTGTAATATGATAAAATTCTGGTCAGTAAAATGGCAAATTATACGCCTACAGAAGTAGTCGATATTCTTATAACCTTTAGCTGTGGAGCAGGGTTTTGCACTATGTGACTGGTGGGTCATCTCTTCACCAAGGTAAGTAGCCAGTTCTGTGTTAGGCTCCTTGGTTGTCTAAGTAAGTGCGAACCAACAAACAGCCCAACTCACGCTAGGTCGATTTAGAGGAAATTACTTTTATCCCCAACATAACATTTTATTAAAAATTCCCACTTGACCTTGAAATGGTCATGAAAATATGGGTTCAAGGACATTGTCAAGGTCATGATTTGGTCTCCCCTCGACATCCAACAATTTTTCTCACAAATACTATCC